AGGCTTGCCTAGCCTCACGGCCAGGCGCCATCGCGACCGGGATTTTGGGGTCGTGACACCTCCCGACTGCGGGAGTATATAAGAATATCGTCAATGAAGACTATCACAAATAAATTCATATATGGCCTGAATACCCTGTTCATCAACTCCATAAACGCAGCTGGGGCATTAGTCAGCCCAAAGGACATAACTAGAAACTCATAGTGGCCATAACGAGTACGAAAAGCAATCTTAGGGACATCAGACGCCCTAATCCTCAGCTGATGATAGCCTCAAATCAATCTTAGAAAACATACTCGCACCCTGAAGCTGGTCAAAATGATCATCGATCCTCGGCAGGGGATACTTGTTCTTAATCATCACCTTGTTCAACTGCCGGTAATCAATGCACATACGTATAGAACCATCCTTCTTCTTTACAAATAGCACTGGAGCGCCCCACGGCGAAACACTAGGCCTAATGAAGCCCTTCTCAAGCAAATCCTGAAGTTGCTCCTTTAACTCCTTCAACTCAGGCGGCGCCATACGATAAGGAGGAATGGAAATGGGCTGAGTGCCCGGCGCCAGATCAATACAAAAATCAATATCCCTGTCAGGCGGCATGCCCGGCAAATCAAAAGGAAACACCTCGGGGAAATCCCAAACAATAGGGACAGAATCAATAGACGGGACCTCAGCGCTGGAATCACGAACATAAGCCAGATAAGCTAAGCACCCCTTCTCGACCATACGTCGAGCCTTCACATAGGATATAACACTGCGAGTGGTATGACCCGGGGTCCCTCTCCACTCTAATCGGGGCATGTCTGGCAACGCCAAGGTCACGGTCTTGGCATGGCAATCCAAGATCGCATGATAAGGAGATAGCCAATCCATCCCAAGAATAATATCAAAATCCACCATATCCAGCAATAATAAATCAACCCGGGTCTCAAAACCCATGAATACCACAATGCACGAACGATGAACCCGATCAACCACTATAGAATCCCCAACCGGAGTCGCTACACGCACAGGAATACCCAAAGCCTCGCTCGGCGAAACCAAATAAGGTGCAAAATATGATGATACATAGGAATACGTGGACCCCGGATCAAACAATACAGAAGCATCTCTATCATAAACCAGAATGGTACCTGTAATCACTGCGTCTGATGCCTCAGCCTCAGGCCTGGCTGGCATAGCATAACAACGGGGCTGGGCCCCACCTCCCTGGACGGCCTCTCTAGGAATGTCCGCAGCAACCTGACCTCTACCTCGAGCGGGCTGAGCTCCACCTCTATGGCCCTTGCCTCCATATCTAGGACCTCTGCCCCCACCTCTGGCTGGCTGGGCAGGCTGTGGAGCAGGTGGCGCCAGAATCATGGGACGTGGTCCCTGCTGCTGAAGTCTACCTGAGGAATGAGGACAGTACCTGATAATGTGGCCTGGGTCACCACAGCCATGACAAACCCTCGGCTACATTATCAGGTACTGTCCTCATTTCTCAGGTAGACTTCAGCAGCAGGGACCACGTCCCATGATTCAGGAGCCGTTATCCTCATCTATTTCCCGACTCAGGTACTTCTTTCTTTTGTCCGTTCGAGGACGAACGGTTATTTTAGAGGTGGAGGTTGTGACGACCCAATGGGGTCATCACCGTAAATGCTCCTTGTTCCGTGCTTCTGAGGCCTCGAAAACCTCTTGAGGGGTTGCTTCGATTTGCGTGCGCAGTCCGGGCGCGAAGCCGGAAAGATTTTGTATGATATAAGTTGAATTCAAGGTTAAAAATGCTAATTTTTAAGTATAATATTAATATAATTTTATTTAATATAATATTAATATAATATTAATATTAAAATTAATATAATTTTAATATTAAAAATTATACTTAAAAATTAGCATTTTTAACCTAGAATTCAACTTATATCATACAAAATCTTTCCGGCTTCGCGCCCGGACTGCGCACGCAAGTCGAGGCAACCCCTCAGGAGGTTTTCGAGGCCTCAGAAGCACGGAACAAGGAGCATTTACGGTGATGACCCCATTGGGTCGTCACAACAGGAATTTTAAGCATCCACAATTATCGACATCAATATCAACAAACATTTTAGAGTTCATTAATTCATAAAAAAAATGGTTTTCAAGTCAAATTTTGTGCCTATCAAATTTTCTTTGCTTGTGTTTCTGATGATTTTCTCAGAGGTTGCTGCTAGGGATATGCCTGCTCAGCCTTCACACCAATTACTCAAATGTTAGTTTTTTATCTTATTTTTGCTGCCTTTTATATTCTCTTGGTAAATTTTTTTGGGTAAAAAGTAGGTTGTTTACTGTATGAAATATTTTTATCAATTGATATATCTACTATGAGGTCATTCGTATCCTTGCTATAAGAAAATTATCGAGCTCTAACTTAAAGTATAACGAATAATAATTTCAAATCATAATAAAAAAAAGTAGAGGGGTAAATTTCATTGTTTCTCCGAGCCGAGGGCTATCGTAAACAGTCTATTTATCTTCACAAGTAGAGGAGGAGCCATGATTTGAAGTTTCTGGGTTCTGAATTTGCCACCGAACCTATAACTTGTTTTAGTTACTGGGTTCACACGCTACTAGAAATCAGGTGATTTCCGTCCAAGGCCGGTCGAAATTAAGAGTATTTGGTCGCAAAAGTCAACAAAAATTGCCTGACATAAAAAAAATAAAATTTTCGACCGATTTCGATCGGATTTTGGTCAAATATTTGGTCATACTTGTATATTATGTACAAAAATAATTATTTATTAAAAATTTACCAAATTTTTGACCGATTCGGTGGGAAACTGGTCAAATATTTGGTCATACTTGTATATTATGTACAAAAATAATTATTTATTAAAAATTTACCAAATTTTTGACCGATTCGGTGGGAAACTGGTCAAATATTTGGTCATACTTGTATATTATGTACAAAAATAATTATTTATTAAAAATTTACCAAATTTTTGACCGATTCGGTGGGAAACTGGTCAAATATTTGGTCATACCTGCATGTACAAAAATAATTATTTATTAAAAATTTACCGAATTTCACTGTTTTTAATTGTACAATTAAATATTTATACATATTTCGTGAATATTTTAATAAAAATATAAGGTCTAAGCAAAAGTTATTGAATTCGTCCGAACCTGCATTTACTTCTCTAGCTCTACAACTGTTCACAAGATTTGGTTATATAAGGTCTACATACACACTATTCTCCCCAAGCCGCACTTGTGAGACTACACTGGATTTGTTGTTGTTATTAAATGCTGGAGGCCACCTAAAAAAATATGAGACAATTTGCTAATGATAACGTATATGAATAAGCTCAAAATATAACATATGATAAAATTAAGATATTTTTATAGATATTATATTATCTAAGAGAAATACTATTGAACTTGAATTTGGGTGCAGCAAATGAAGCCCAGAGTACAACTGGAACGTTGAATGACCCAATTAAGCCCCAATGGTGGAATCTCGCGAAATCGCTAGCAGAAATGGCTGCTTCTTATTGCATAGAGTGCAATTGTTGTATTCCTGGAAAAAACTGAAGAATCATATTCCTCCTTACTCCTTAGTATACTAAAAATATATACTTTGTCAAATAACATGAGATAAGATCAATGTATGAACATTACGTTCCACTCTTCTCATAATAAATAGTACGAGTTGTTAGAAAGTTGGAGGAAAAATAAAACACAAGTTGCAGTGTTTACCACTCGAATGTGTAGACAGAGGCGGGGTCACGGTTTCAGACTTATGGGTTCAGAATTCTAATTATTAAAAGTTACTGGGTTCTAAATTAGTCATTTATACATATTTAATAGATTTTGTAAAACAAACATAGAGTTCAAATCAAAGTTACTGGGTTCGGCCGAACCCGGTACCAACACTCTACCTCCGCCACTGTGAGTAGATATATTGGGGTAAATTTTATCAATGGTCATATACCTATGATGTTTTTCCATCAAAATATAACTTTGTTTTCTCATACAAAAGTCACAAAACTTTCACTAACTCACGTAAAAATCATAGTGGCCGAAAAACACAATTTTACGGTAGTATTTTCTTTTTCCACATTTTTTTTTATTTTTTATTTTTCAGTATAATGAATAATAATTCAATTAAAATAGGAGAAATATTTATTTTTAGCCGCTTAAAAAATTAATATTTGATAAAAATATATTTTTATACATATTCTATATATTTTTTTATCTAGTGAATGCATTTGGTTTCGATCGACTGATCAATTTTGTATTTTTCTTTTAAAATAAGAATGACCCAATCCAACCCGACCCAACCCAATATCCATATGCATATATTAAAATAATACTAAAAATAAATCCCCCCCCCCCCCAAAAAAAANTTTATTAATTGTTTTTGAACGACCTAAAGTTAATGCTTTTGTCTTGTGATATAAAAAAAAAAACCCCCCCCCCCCCAAAAAAAAAAACTTGTTTGGAATGCATATAACAAAAAAATAAAAGCTATAATTAAAAGCATTTGAAATAAAAATACTATAAATTTGAATGAAAATCTTGAAAAAAATAAAAAAATAAAAGTATCGTATTTTGAAGGATTCATTTTTTGTATTATTTTAATTTATATATATGGGTATTAGGTCGGGTGGTTCAGGTAGGATCGGCTAATTCCTATTTTAATTGAATTATTCTTTATTAGACAGAAAATAAAAAATCGTGAAATAAGAAAATAATACTTAAAATTTGTATTTGCGGTCGGTCACGAACCAATTCCCATCATAGTTTGTGATGGCACCAAACGCTTCCGTTAGCCAATCCAACGATGCAATCAACACGCTAATAGATAATCAAGAATGCATCTCGAAATAAATAGCTAAATAGTTTGGTTTTATCGAAAAGTACTGGTGTTATTATTTTAAATGTTTGAACGTAGTAAAATTATAAACCAGAATATCATGACAGTATACAACCAAAACCAAAATCTAAATGTTATACCCCATATCTTCGTACGTGAAAGTACGCCATAAGTAAATTGATGGAAGCTCGAAAAATAAGATGTTACATCCCCATTTTCGTACGTTAAAGTTTCGTCGTAAGTTAATCGACGTAAGTTCGAGAATGAGATTATTTTGAGATTATAAGCATTATGCAATTTCAAACAAGTGATGAGAAAATTCGTGAATGTGAGAGGGTAAGCAAATCAAAGAAAACGAATTTCATCAAAGTTTGACATTTTAGGATAAAATAAGGTCCGAGCTATAATACTGCTGTTTATGGACTAGTGTCATACAAGGTACTACATGACCATGATAGTAAGGTGTATAAGGTATGTTCAAAATGAGTAGTAGTTTAAGTAATTTGGGATAATTTTTAATTATGTGGATAATTGAGTAATTATGAATTGTTAAGTGGGAGATTAACTTATAATTAAGAAATTATTGGACAAGGATTTAATCCTTACACATGGCACCCAACAAAATGTGACTCTTAAAGCTCACATATAATTGGCATGTTTAGAATAATAGTTGGCCAAGTCATCCATAACTATGGGGCCCACATCCATACGTAAGATATCTCAAATTCATATATAACCAACATAAATAACATTAGCCATTCTAGTATGAATCTGCACATGTAAGATATCTCAAATTCATAAATAATCAACATGAGTAACGTTAGCCATGAATCTGCATATATCACATAAGCACGCAAGATCTTTAACAATTCAAAGCAACATAAGGTTGTGTAATCATAAGGAAGTATCTTTCTCAAGAATATCATACGAATTTTTTCCTACTCCGATATTGCCATTATGTGTTGTCACAATTAATGGGTGTTAAAGGGATTGTCAAGAGAATCGATTCAGGTATGTTAAGGCTATTTATTCTTTCCTTTTGGCATTATCCAAATGATACAAACGAAACGAGCAAATGCACAATTTTCATAAATGACTCTGTTCTTAGAAATATTTGAGATGCCTATGCTCTTGATTCCCCATGTATCCTATTATTCTATCATCTGTTCATGGGTCTTAGAAAATACGTAAGTTGATAAAGTTTATTTCGCGACATTAATAAAAAGCATAATGGTCTTATGACGTTCCAAGAGGTTTTATTGACATACTTCTCATGCATTGTATTTATTTACATGTACATTGACCCATGGTCAGATGTTGTTAGTATATATGTATATGGGATATGGAAAAAGGTTACGGCGTTATATATGCACCACCACCTAATCAACTGGTATACATTGATGATTCGCGCACAGTGGCCGAGATGATATGATGGGATGCCCTCAGAGGCTTGATGATGTTATGAACACATGTACCTATGCACGATAAGACATTCATTCGCATATGCATGACACTCTAAGTATTTCATGAGCTGCAGTGCTATCCAGACTTACATGTCTAGTCTTTTACTCCATGAATCTATCAAGTCTATTATTTACTGATTTTCATTCCTTACATACTCGGTACATTATTTGTACTGACATCCCTTTTTCATGGGGACGTTGCGTTTTATGCCCGCAGGTCCCGTTAGACCGGTCGAGAGTCCTCCAATTAGGCTATCAGCTCAGTGGAAGATGTTGGTGTGCTCCATTTACTCCGGAGTTGCTTATTTGGTCGATATGATTTGGACGTGTATTGTTTAGTATGGTGGGGCCATGTCCTAACCTTTATGGTATTTATCTACTCTTAAAGACTTGTAGACATATATCATGTGGATAAAAGATTGTTTGGCCTTGTCGGCTTATGTTCTGTGTACGAGTGGTTTTTGATTATATAGGCATGTATGTCTTCTGTATAAGATGGTGTTACGTGTTTTATTCTAGTTATCCTACGGAAGCCTTTCCATCTCATTCATCTATAATAGCATGATACAAAAATATATGTTATGTTGATACTCGGTTAAGTAAGGTACATATTGCTCATCGCGGACCATCGGTTTGGGTCGTGACAAAAGTGGTATCAGAGCAGTGCTTTCCTATGGAGTCTACAAACCGTGTCTAGTAGAGTCATATTTATGGGTGTGTCGTGCACCATACGTATAAGCAGGAAGCTACAAGGCATTTAGGACCGCCACTCTTTCTTCTTACTCCAGATCGTGTGGTAGAGCTCAGTTGTAAGAACTCAATTTTCTATACTCTATCTTGTTCATAATACGACAATGGCTACATCCAAAAGGGCGCTGTGGAAGAGTTGAGTTAGAGGAACTCGATTTTTGAATTATGCTTATAATGGATAAATATGAGTATTAGCATATCATGTGTGTACTAAGATGTGTAAGCTTCATGATAAGGATCCTTAAGGTAAGAATATCCATCCACCCATATGGTGAAAAGAAATGAAATATTCAGAAGGTAGATACAAGCTTCAACAAGCAAAAGGAGAAAGATGAGAAGGGTACGAGGTACCCAGTTAATAAAGATTATCGATTACTCAGGCAGAAAAACATAATCATTGTGAGTTATCTTACAAAGGTATGTACAATTGGTCACACCCATTTCAATTATGCCCTATGGGAGCTAACACGATATAGTATAAGAGAAGGACGGATACCAGGATCCGACTGAGGTTGGAGCGACCCAAAATGGTGGATGGATTATTTGCGTTAGTTGACATTTCCAAAAGATATTGCAAATGTGCTAATAGATCTCCTAGTGAGACACCCATATGGTGCACTCTAAAATAGTATAACTGGATACGAGTACTACAAAGATAGGCACTAGAATCCTGTAAGGTATAAATATTATCTTAGTATGGTTTCCGTCCCTAGTAGAGAATATGCTAGGCAACCTAAAGAGCCACTGGATGGAACAAGGGGAGCTAAACGCAAAAGAATGTCTTGTTGAAATTTTCAAAATTAAGTGATAGACAGAAATATTAGCAGGGAAATAAGAAGAGAGTTAATGAAGCATTAGGAATAAGATGTGATACATGGATAACAATGGTAGAAAAAAATGACAGTATTATAGAGTCTATAATCAAGTGAATAAGACGAGAAGTGACAGGCCTTGAGAAAACAAAAGAGTACATGTCATAAAGTCGTATCCTCATTTCGAGAAATAAGTTCGTGACCCCAATGCAACTACCAGAAGGGAGAGTTAAACTCCAGAGTAATAAAAATCAGTATGAGCTGGTAAACAAGATAAACTAAACATGAATTAGGGACTGAATGATTTGATAATAGTCAGCATCATGAGAATTTCGTATTGCGTTCCGACGATAATAGAATGAACAACAGAAGAAGATTCATGTGAAATCCAGAGAATGGTCATTCAGGAAAACGCTTCCCTAAAGCAAGAAATGTGAGCAAAGTTAAGCTCAAAGGACTGTATGTGCCAGTTACACTAAGTGTCACCATCGCGAGTAAGGAATTTTGTTATCCTTGGTACAGAAGGATTACCGCAAGGTGAGAAAGGGTCATCGATGATGTTAAAAGATGCCAAAGATGAAGAGGTAAAACATCTATAGGTAAGTCGTCGTAGCTCCAACTCTTAATACTCCCCTAAAGGGGGAGAGGGGGAATATAGAGTGATGTGGCATTAAGTCAGAATTAAGTGGT